AAAAAGCGATGCCTGCTGTTTTTCCCTTCCAGTCTCTATAGTGTTCTTGAATTTCAACAGACTGGTCTGTAGTTCTGTCCTTAAGTAGAGTGCATCATCTGTGGCCCAGGAGGAGCAGGAGTGAATGGTTACTTGATATGTTTATTGCTGTTTCCCCAGGGATGCTGAGGAAGTCCCGTTTTTATAAACAATAGCAAGAGCACGGCCTGTATAAGTTTGTCCTAGCGAGGAAGTGGGTGGTACTTTGCCACTGCTGTACAAGCCTCACTGGGCACAACTTCAAGGCTGGAATCCTTGTATGATTGCCAATGCCACCCTCTGTTTGGCATTTGCATGCCACAGGCTGCAAGGTAAAGCATTAAAACTTTATTTTGTGTCAGAAATACTGCCAAAAATATGACACTGCTTTGAGGTGTTTTAAAAGTAAGGAGCTAGCATGGAAATGAGAAGATGGGGAGGAAACAAAAGTAGTTCAGGGGGTAATAGAGAAAGCAATGTGAAAAGGGCAAGAAAACCAGTTTAAATGATAACAACTCTTTGATTGTACAGTTGGCTTTAGTCTCAACAAATTACTGTTACTCATTTATATCTCCAACCTAGTTGTTACGATTTTACTGCCATCTCTACTGGGCTTCTGTGATTTCCTTCATAGCAACCCTGTAACATGTAAATTGCTATAACGTGACAGGCAGTCATGATTCACTAACTGGTATACAGGTACAGGGATAATTACTTATTTACAGTCACTGCACTGTGAATCTCTATGTATGTTGGCTATAATTAGTCCCATACTAACAGGCAAGTTATTTGCTAGCTTCAGAGAATCATACACAACTCCATTTTTCCTAACTTTGAGTTACCAGTCATTATCTGTTTCCATTTATTTGAGATATTTTTCATATTTTCTCCTAACAATCCTTTCACTCCTTTTAGTCCAGTTTTCCTTCATTTGAAATCACTGTAAGAAAAAGTTGCCACCGTCTGTCACTTCCTGCACAGCACAGCACAAATTCAGTTCTATTTCCTACTTACAGGTCTGGTCTTTCTTTGTTTGCCTATATGGAGGAATGCCAGACTCTGTTTCCCTTTTTCTTGTAAACAGGCATGTTTTAAGAGGAAAGAGCCTTGCTAAGCCTGTGGGAAGAAAGAGCAAGGGGAAATGGAAGTTAAATAGGTGAAAAAGGAGGTATTAATTACCTTATGAATCAATGAGCTCCAAAGTTGAGGAGTTTATTATTAATATATCTTGATAACTGATTTGTAAGCAGGAAGAACCTCCAGCTTCTGCAGTATGTGGGGAGAATCTGGTGTTCTCAGAACAAACAGCAGTCAGTCAGTGTCAAAAGCCCATGTGCAAAGATTCATAATTTTAAAATGCATTTCATTGTTTCAGAATTCTTTAGCAAATATGAAAGCATAACCTGCTTTTATATTAAGTTTTGGGGGTTTTATGTCACTTTCTCTGTGGCTTCTTGTTCTAGATTTGCTAGCGTACAGCTGAGTAATGAATTAACGGTCAGGAGCCCAGTGCATGAAAAGTAGCCTCCACACACGTGTTTAAAGAATGGGTTATATTTTACCTTGACCTTGTTGTAGATGACTTTTTTCTTCTTATTCTTCTTTTTAATAAAGATAGAGTTCACATATTTTAAAGGAACTTTTATCTGTATCTCAGGTCACTGTTCCTTGTTGGTAGGAGGCCTTGCAGACCTGAAAGACCAGATTGAGAGAGGAAGATGAAAGGCAATACAAAGTAGCATTTTTAATACAGTTGACAGCATACCAGTAGTCTAAACACTATTGATTTGTTGTGTAAACAGATTTGAAGAAAGACTGGAACAAAAATATTATGTATCAGATTTCAATAATCTTCCTCTTCACATTCAGTGGAATTGCAGTACTGAGGTATCCTTGGATCAAGTACTTGGATATATACTGAACAGAAAAGAGGCATTCACTGCAGAATACACTTTTGTGTTTCTAAATAATCCCTTTTGAAGATAAAAACTATGCCAAATCTACAAACAAAACTGAGAAACTAGAAAATGATGTTCATTGTTCTGTTATCTCAGCTCTCAATGTCATTTAGGAGTACATAAGAACATGGTGTTGATTGAAATGGATTTTTGCTATTTCAGATATGTGATTATGAGGATGCCCTTGAATTATTTCGTGCTAGCTAAAAGCTCCTCTAACCTTTAAAAAATAATCTTTTGTCAGCTATGCGGCAGAAGGTAGAAAATAGTAAATTAAAACTTGAATGTTAGTACAGTTCACTCTGTAAAGCAAGTTATTGAAAGAATTTTTTGTAACACATCTAAAAGCAAACCTTTGTTTTTCTTTCAGATGAATGTCTGTAGGTTACGCTTAACAGTACCACCTGATGAAGGCTCACAGCCTGAACAGGGAGTAAAGGAACCTGAAAGAAAGAAAAACGTAAGTTTTAAGAATCGAAGTTAAATTCTGTATAAACAAGGAGTAAATATTGCCATCCACAGAAGGTGGTATTAGTTGTTTTGGGAGTTCAGAAAAGCCCAGTCATCTTGGAAGATGTTGAAAGTGAGCAGGTCAGCTGTGAGCTTTGAGCCTGAGCCTTGGAGTTGATGATAGCAAAACTGCCTGTAAAATAGGACAGTAGTAGAGGAACAGCACAGAGGTTGTAGGTGATTTGTGACTGAGGCACCTTTAAGTTATATAGTTATATATTAAAGAGTAGAAAACTGCTATCAGGAGCAGGGTCGTGCCTTAAACAGGATCTTGATCCTCACCTGAAGGGGATTTTCTGTTTCATGTAGGCTTAGCAACGTGCAAGATTTGAGCCTTAATGCGTATGGGAGCTGGCTTGCCTGGGACTCAGAAGTTTTGCTGTGTCAGCTAATCTTAGTAATGGGCGATGTACTAATAAGAAATGCAAAATAAAGAATTCAAGATTGTTCTGAAGAGAAAGGGATTTGAAGGTCATGTACATAGAAAGTTCAGAAGGGAAATTTTTTTGTAGAAGCAAGTAGTGTGCACACAAAGAATCTTACAGCTGCTTTGATGCAGAACTTGTTCTTTAAGAGCTGTTTCAGAGCAATCGATGCTGTTTAATTTGTCTTAAGGATGGAGACTAAAAAGGGAAGCTGGACAGGCTCCACAGCTTGACCACATTTACACTTTGATAAACCAAAATCAAACAAGAAGTTGGCTGAGTTTACCAGACCAGCGTCTGAATAGTATAATATGACTATAGGAAGCAAAACAACAATGGGATTTATTTGAAATAATTTCTTAGTGGTACTCAAAAGCAAAGTAGCTGTAAAATGAATCATAAAGACAAACATTTTAGAGCAAGAAAAATAAATGCAAAATAAAATGGTCAAGATGATAGAGATTCCGCATCAGGTATTTCTTGTCTGCATCAGGTATTTCTTGTGCTGGAATCTTGTATACACTCAGCTTTTCATACCCTGCTCTGGCAGGGTAATAGGAGCTTGAGGTTCTATAGATGTTACTTACAGAATGGATTAAAGAGACCTTAATGCAAACTAAATTTGGGCCACCGTTAAATAGTAACAATTAATTTTGTACAGAGGTTTTTATTTGAAGCACGTAGAGGAGCTCCCCCACCACTTTGTCAGTCTCTAACACTTTGTATCTGATTGCAGAAACCCTCAGACTGGTCTAAGCACGTGGGCCCATTGCCCTAAGAGTAATGTAAGTTTGTTTTTGAGGAGGATAGATACTGACTCATGGCTTACTCACTTTACTGTGCTGACTAGTGTAATAATAAGAAAGAAGTCTGAATGATTAGGGCTTGGACAGTTTGTAGTGATTTTCTTCTGTGATCACTTTTTTTTTTCTGTGGGACTTTGTATTTAATGAGAGTCGTATTTCCCCCATAATACAAGTAAAGGCAAGTGGGTTTTATATCAGAGAATGTTAAGGAGAGAATATGAAAGGTAATAGAGACATTCTTGGTCTTATCTTACATTCTAGTGTATTTACAAATGTTAGATAATCCTCACACAGTCTTATAAGAAATGTTCCCCCTTCTTTGAAACAGGGATAACAGAAATTAGGGAACTGCTCAGTTTTCTGCCTCGCACTTTACGATTTAAGGTAAAAAAATACAGGTTCACCCAGAATCAAATTTAGTAGCATGTCTCTTGTTGGAATCTTAGAGTTCTGTGCTGTCTTTAAATGCTGAGTATTAAGAAAATGTTGTTGGTATTTAAAATATATTAGTGTGACTTACAGAAATGAATTGCAGGGGTAATCTGTGGGATTGTACAGTTTTTGCTGGAGCGCTCAGGCAGTCTAAGCCTGGCTGCCAACGCTCTCCTGTTTGGGCAGGACAGGTGCTGGAGAAAGACACTCTTCCCTGCCTCTGTCTGCTGCTGGTGAGGAGCAGAGACCTGGCTGTGTCAAAGAGAATGCCAGAAAACTATAAATATACCATGGTGTGACATTTGGTTGTAATCTCCCCTTTCAAGTCTTTCATTAGAGGGAGGTGATTTTGAGCTGCCCTAATGTGACATAGTGATGGCTTACTGACTATTTGTTCCTTTTCTGTATCTTTCTGGGGCTTAGTACCATTAAGAGATATTTCAGTTGCAAAATCAGCTCGTGAACTCACAGAAGCTCTTGCTAGTGCTGATCCTCCCAATGACTTGTTTTGGAGCTTGCTGTCAGATAAAAACTGATTCTTTACTGGTGATGTTAGTAACCTGTTAACTCAGCCTTTTTCATTGTAGTCCAAGTTTAGTAGAAAATGTACACTGTATTTCATGAAATCTGTATCAGTGCATTAAGTTTCTAGATTGACTTTTTTGTTGCTATACATCCATGAAATAAAAATGAACCATAAAACAAAGTGATGAAGCTGGGCAGTTTTGTTGCAACAAAATGGCTGCAGGCATTGCTGTACTAGGATGGCCTCTCCCCGTCTTTTGTGAAAGGCTGCCAGATGGTACTCAGTTAGAAGTTGATCTCAAAAACTGAAGGGAGAGTGAGCGTGTGCTCCAGTGTGTCAGGTTGGAGTTTATATTTATATTTAGGCCATGATACCTTGAAAGAAGCATATGAGAACTGAAGTCACAAGTAGAGGCTGGTTGGTTGCTTTGTTTGCTTTTTACAGGCTAAAAGCCTTCTGCTAAATATCTCTCAATTGTTAGCACTTCAGGTAGAGAGAATCTGAAACTGTCCTGATTTTGTTCCATTACTTCAGTTAACAGTAGACAATGGATGACAGTAGTGTGAGGCTGTTTACTTCACCATGAAGTACAAAGGAATACTGTGCTCATCAGATTGTATGCAAAATCTGCATGTCCTGAAGCTTGCCTTGTCTTGCATAATAAAGGGCTACCAGACAATTATATTGTCCCTGTTTGGGATTGGTCTTATTTTTATCCTTCAGTCCCTTCACTGTCATGGCTAAATTTGGAAGTGTCATTGGAAGCTGCAGCTAGGCATGTAAGGGCAGAATACTGAGATAAGTATAGACAGAATTTTTTCTTTTCCATTTGAACACATGGACAAGAGAATGAAAATGAGATAACACTCTGGAAGTTTGTGTCACTTCCCTATCTTTATGGCTTTCAACCGAGTTTGAGCAGTGTTTAGTCTTAAGCTCTTACTGGTACTTTGGCTGTATATATCCTCAAACTCTTTAATTTTCTTATGTTTTTAGACCATCACAACCAAGAGGCGTAAGTAACTTTTTTTGCTTTCTAAGCAGGAATACAGAAGCATAGCAGATTTCACCCCAGTAAAAAGTAGGCTGTAAAGAAGCCATAAGGGGAATTTGCTCCTGTATGTGATGGAGAGAATCAAGCAGAAACTTGTGTTAGGTCTGCATCAAAGAATATGAGTGCAATGCACATGGGGCTGTTGTGCATGTTGAATCTAGGACAGTGCCTATTTTCTCTGCTGGTCTGCTGACCAGCCCACTCCCATCAGCATAGCAGAAGTTGTGTCATAACAAACGTGGTTCACCTACTACAGGTGGCTGATGTTGCTGTTTCTCAGCCTCTCTACCACTGGTTCCCTGATTTTTTTAAGTGTGTGCTAATAAAGTGACACCTTTATTAAAAACAGCACTACATGAAAAGCACGGAAAGAATTCCACTGACTTCTGTGGTTACTGCTGTATTTGTTGTTTCTTATTTTCTTCGTGTATAAACATTGGTGTTATGGGTACGGATTTAATTGATTAGGTATGACTTTGTAAAATGCTTGTTCCTTTTATTTTTTTGAGATAGGCACCTAAATTCTACATTTCAAGGAGCTTAAAAGTTGGAATGTGTTAAACAATGCTTGTTTTTTAGCATCATGAATTTAAGAACACTCATGTATGTCTTGGCATATTTTAATACTATTTATATATGAAACATCCCTAAATGTAACATGAGTTTCGTGGGCTGTAAAGGAATATGAGAAAAGATAAAAACATCGCTACCTTTTGTCAGAGCACAGTAACCTTCCTTGGTGAGCTCAATATTATAAATGTGTAATTTTACTGAACAGAAAATACATAACCTGAGTAACAATGTGAATGTTTATTTTCCTTGTAGAACTAGTGAACAAGCAAAAGATAACTGGGTATTTCAGAAACATCTGGAATGTGGCAGTTGAGGAAAAGATAAAGCCTTGCTAAACTGACACAGTTCTGGTTAAAAGTAGAGTTTTCAGATGGTGCAGGTAAACAGAAGGTCATGATTTAGCAAACTTTAAAGGCCATATGAGTACTAACCCAGAAATGTGCTAATCCCTACATTAGATGTCCTTTTTTTCCTTGAAATAAGATGCCTCTTCTGTGCTTCTGCTTCCAGTTTGGGGCAGGAGAAAGTAAAAAGTGTGGAGGCATCTGACTTTCATTTCAAGAACTGATGGAGATAGCTTAGGAGGCAGATAACCCCTCAGTGTTATTTGCATAATGCCAATAAAACCATGGGAAATACCAAAACCAGCTAACAACTCGTATTCAGGGTTTGTTGTTATCATGTCTGTGCTTCACTTATTTCGTGCTACTTGTGGTACTTCCTTGGACAGAGACATAAACAGGATGCATGGCAATTATCAAGATTTTGCAACCTTGGGGTGTAGGCTTCTGTTTTAAATATTTATTAAGTAAACACAGTTTGCATTTCTTCAGTATGTGCTGTGTGATCACACCAAGTGCATGCAACATGACTGTTGCTGCAACATAAACAAAGCATGTTCCTGGAACCTGCTATAGAGTTCATGTGCATCAACATGATGTGTACTTGCTGTTACCTTGGACTGTCATATAACTGACTATAGGTACAAAGAGATATTTACAAATTGCTTAAGCTAAGTCTGCCTTTTCAGATCAGCACCTCACATTAGAAGGGATTTTGAGCGCAATTTAGGGCAACAACTGCGCTTGTTCCAGTGCAGCAAGTGCATAGGCAGGTGGGAAGAGAGAACTTCCCTGTACTCTGGAGCTGGCTGGTATTTTGATCTTAAACAGCAATGATTAATCTAATCTAATGAAACCTTCCATCTTCAAGCACTTTTCTGGTTAGCTTTACAGTATTTCCTCATTCCTAAATACTTGTTATCATCACTGAGGTGCCGCACTGCAGATCAGAGTGGAGACAGGTAAGGACCCTCTCAGAAAAATATCTGAGTTCTCAGAGTGGACATGGATGGGACATAGAGGAAAACAATGAAAAGTATTTGACTTAAAAAACATTGTGTAGTCCTTGGGGATGTGGAAAATCTAGGATTTGTGGAAAAGGAAACATGAGAGAGAGGACGTGACAGAGGAAGGAGAGAAAACAAGTCAGAAAAGGAAAAACTGATAAAAAAAGGGTAGGTGGAAGGAACTTAAAGAGAGGAGACAAAATGGATATGCATACTTAGTGATGCAGTTCTGTGGAGCAGTTTGAGAACTGAGCCATTCAGCGAGGCCTCCTTTAGAAGCAAAGTTGTATTAAAAACATAGTCAACAAGCAAAGCAACCCATCCACCTCTCAACTGTACATTTAGCATAGCTTTCCGATTGTAACCCTTCCTCTAAGAGGAAACCGCATCACGTTAGCCCTTTTTTGTCAGGGCCTGTGCTCAACCCTGAAACAAGTGGTCATTGAGTGGAAATTAAGAGTTACCAACCAGAGAAATGAGGGGGTTGAAGGTAAGCATAGCTGGAATAGAACAGCAAGCGAAAAACTAATGAAATACAAGAACAGTTATTTGTGTAGTTGTTGATTCACACAGCTTTAAATCAAGCAAGAACTGTACTGAAATTTTAACAGGTGCTTGCCTAGGGGTTGTGATATGAAGGAGGAATAAAGAGGGGGTAAAAGCAATATCCTGTATTTTAAGTAGCCCATAGTATAACTGGAACACTCTAGAGATGATGGAAATTCTTTTAATCTTCTGAAACAGAAGTGACAAAGGCATCTTGGGAGGCTTGTGCAAATACAGACGACAGGCAAGTTTAGCATTTTTGCAAGAAACTGTAACCCATCTGGCTTTGTGCATTCTTAATCCTGCATGTAGTGCCCATTATTATGTAAATTTAAGTTGGTTTGTCTGTGAAATATGTAAGTGCCATGGATGATTCTCCAGCTGCAAACCCAGTGGTCTGAATTTGTAGGTCTTTGTTAGAGGGGGGGGGAAAAAATGCTTCAAAGCATTCCTTAGGAATGTGTTTATAATATTCTAAAAATAAGGAACTTGGTAATACTTTTCATGGAGAACTCTGCAAAAAGCACTTTAAACAATTCTGCTAATGTTTTGGAGACACAAAGGATCTTGGTAATTGCTTGTATTTGGCTGTTCACATCATAAAAAATTAATGATTATGGGTAATGAGTATGGATTTATGAACTCAGCATCTGGTGCCTTAGTAACCTCTAAACAATCAAAGTGGTTATTCATTTGGTTATCAGGAAGATGGAAACTTGTATGTAATCCCTTTATCCAGATGCAGGGGAGGAGCTGCAGTGAAGCTATCAAAGGAACTGTACAACCCTGGAAGCAAACAAACACAAAAAATTTTGAGTAATGTCGCCTTCTAGCTTCTGTGCTTTTCCTCTACTCTCAAAAAATCAGATGTGGGGTTTTTGTTTGTGTGCATCCAAACAGCAAACCTAAAACCCCAATAATACCTAATTATGAAACTTCTGATTATGAGGATATGAAACTTTGCATATAATGTTTTCAAAGTGCAAAATGGCATCATGTAGAGGTAGGTCTGGTTACCCAATGTTTTTCCATACGTGGTTTTAAGGCTTTCTTTTTAAATGATTCCTTATAGCTTTGTTGTTCTTTACCTGTAACTTTCTTTATCAAATGTCTGCTCTGTGATTGTTCCCCTCCCAGCCCTGCACACACACCCAGAGCTTCAGCAGAATGGTTAAACTATTAATGATCTGGTAAAGGAAAATGTGTAGGTTTTACAATGTTGAGAAAATCTGTCGGCGCCATGCGGGAGGGACACAATATAAAACAAATGTCCATCTTTACCTCTTCTTCTTAACGCAAGTAGATTTTCCTGCTAATTTTTCCTTTACCCAAAGACATATTTATTCTTACCTTGCCACCATAGTTGTGTTTGGTTGCTGAAAACTGAAAGTGCTACTGCTTTAGACTGCAAGTGCCATCATCACCGTCTGTCATGGTAAGGACTGGAGACTCTCTAGGATGCAGCTGCAGGTGGATATAAGATGCTGAGTTTAATCTCTCTCAACCTCTCTTTGGTGTCAAAGAGAGCATTTACACACTGCTTAGATTCTTAATTTAGTAAAGAATCTCAAAAGTTTGTCAGTTTTCAAACAATGTTATTACTGAACAACAAAACAAAACCAACCATGTTCTAAGGTCAATATAGCAAATATTCTCAAATTTGCACATATCCTGGTGTATCTAGTGTGAGAAAGAAAGTTCAGTAAAACTACCTATAAACTGATTTGTCCTCAGTACTGGCCTTTCAAAGACAACATGCAAAGCTAAGCAGTAACAGCTGTGTTTCCAAGATTGTGTCTTTCTCACTTTATATTTAGAAATAATCACTAATTTTAAGTTCCTAGTTTGCAAATATTCAGAGTTAGGTAAGAATATTTTTTTCCCTTATTTTATAAAAGCCATAATATATATGTCTTCATCTAAGCTTGTTGTTTAAATTCTTTGTAATCAAGAAAAGAAATTCTGGAGACTGACTCATTTTAGATTATTGCTACAGAGGGATGTTTCTCAGGGTCGATTAGAAGGGAGGCAAGGTGAGTAGTCAGGTCAGGTGGTTACATCTGACCTTGCAGATATTTATTGATATGCTGCGGGAGATGATTCCTACTGTTTGCACGAATATTTTTCTTCCTAAGTGTTTTGATGAGATGAATAAGAGGAGTCTGTTGCAAAGAGTGCCTTAAAGTAAGACATATACTTGCTACAAGTTCATTTTACAAATTTCTGCAGATCATTAAAATAACAAATGTAGGCATTTTAAAACAGCCTTTCTTTTTACCTGTCAAGACCTGATTTTGAAGTTTTGTCTTCCTCTAACAGGTAATAACACTGGAACACCCACATGAGTGCTGTTTCATAGCTTTGCTTTGGCTCTTACAGTGTCAGTTCTACAACTTCTATAAGAGAAATACAGCCCTGAAATGAATGTTTGGTTGCTCTGGAGGTCCTCAGTTAGCTTTAAATGCAAACTGAAATTCTACTTTGTTATCTCCAAGATAAGCAGATATTTTCTGAGCTCTATGTAAGGAACCTTGCCTAAAATGTTTTAATTTCAGTTTCTTCTGAGAACTTTCTAAAATCTTTGATTGAACTTGTGAATTTTTATATTTCCCACAGCACTGATTTTGGAGGGTGAGGAGCAATTCTGTGGTTGCAAGAGCTAAATGGAACTGTGAGAGCTGACAATGCTCTGGAAGAATGCAGAAAAGTAGCATTTGTTGTGAACGAAAATAAGCCAGGATAACTTTTTCTCTCATAAGCCTTTACCTGGCCATGCACAAATCCAATCTGTTGTCTCTAGCTTTACCTGTATCTTTTCCATTAAAGCTAATGGAAATTAGACATCTCTATCAGTTATAAACTGGTTATTGATCTTCCCAGAAACATAAAGGTTGACAGTTCGGCCCCAAAACATGTGGGATCTAGTGTTCTTGGGTACTGTTGTGCTTTCACTATAGTTGGCTGTCTCAGCTCTATGTTACTGTTTTTTTGTTTGTTTGTTTTTTTAATTCTAGTACTGTTTTTTTTTTTTAAAAAAAACCCCTTTTTATTTATTTACTCCTAAGGAGCTCTACCATGTACCAAATGGCATGTCTCCAGGGAAGCTCTCTCATGGGATGGTGTATGGCGTCGTGCACCGAACTGACAACAACCATAAGAGAGAAATGGTGGTTTATGGCTGGTCAGCTGATCAGCTGAAAGAGGAGATGAATTACATTAAAGAAGTGAGTTAAGCTTTCAGCTTCAAAATTTGTCAAGTATACTTCCTGTATATTCAGGTAGAGCTGTGACTGTGTATGGGATGACTGATGTGTGGCCCAACACCTGAATTTGAATTGGGAACCTAACTCTGAAGCTAAAGGCCTGCCTTGTTAGTATTTGAGTTGGGGAAAAAGGATGCTGTATACCTGGGAACTGTGTGGTCCAGACTCGAGATCTCTGTACCAAGTGATGCTTCCTGACTGGGCTACAGCTGGGCAAGCAAACTGCCAGACAGATCTTGGGGTTCCTGTCCTGAAGCCTTCATAATTTAAAATGTGATACTGAAGAAACTATGTAAGGAGACACCTGAAAGGATAAACTCTATCCTTTCTTCCTCTGCTTCCCCTGTCCCAAAACCCCCCAGTTTTAAAAAGGCTCCTGAATTAGGTGACACACTAAAATCACTTGGGTGATTTTTGGGGCAGGCTTAAAATAGTCAGCCTAATAAGGATGACTTTGTACTACTTTCTCTGTGCATGCTCATTTATCATAATTGGCAGAAGCTCTCCTGAAAGAAAAAAAATGCGTTTCTGGTACTGATGATTTCTGTGCTTGAAACTCAGCATCTCCTTCCTTGTCAATCTTTGGCACTACCCCCTAATTAGCCCAGAGCAAATAATTTGACCTTCTGTTTCCATCCACCTTCACCACCCAGGAAACTGTTGGTCAATGGTTATCGTGTTACACTGATTCAAGTGCAAAATGAGTTGATGTAAAAGGGAGGAACACTAAGTCAAGCCAGCAGTGTAAGAGACTGTAATTTCGTGTGCTCTTAACATCTGCCTGGTCTCTAGCTATCAGCACTTGTTTCTCTCCTGTATTACTCACAGTATTCACTGCTCTCAAGTTCCTGCACTGGCAGTTAGGGTATGTTGCTACTGGAGTGCAGGCGAGGCATGTGAGCAGCCTCCACTGCTGAATTCCTGTCTGGATACTTTGCCTACCCTGCTGTGTTGGTGTCTGGGGATGGGTGAACTGGCACACGGCAGGTCCAGCTCCCTGGGCTGCGCTGTTCCTTGTACTTGGCACAGATTGCTTGGACTGGGACCATCTCCCTGCCCTTTTCTGTTCACAGCCAGCTTGTGGCATGGAGGGACATGTCAGACCAGGTGAACAGCATGTCTTGCATGTGTGTTCAGGGTACCGAACCTTTCAGGAAAAAAAGGGAAGGGACATACTGGCTCTTGGTCTCCCATCTTCTGGAAGCTGTATTCAGCTATGATAAATTTGAACTTTGATCTGCCAGATAAGTTTTGTCTTTAAAAGTGCAATCTTAAAAAGAGTCCTCAGCTTGTGCCACGTGTGTGCTGGCTTAAATAGACTGAAAATGATGGGCCACGTCAGAACTGCTGACATTTTCCTCTGTAACTGAGTCAAATTTGCACCTTGCAAAAGGGTGTGTGTGTGCACATGCGTATGTGTGGGTAGGACAGGGCGAGGGGTGCTTTCCTGAGGTGAAGTGCAGGAGTCATCTTCCCTCTGTGTTTCTCATCCTAATGGGAGCACATAGTTTGGGGTAGGCTTGTGCCTACTCCTTGCATAGATTTGGTGGCCAATGCCCCTCGTTCTGGGAGGGAGTAGGTGTACTGCAAAGGTGCTAGAAACATCCCCTCTTGTATAAAGCCCTACTAATGTTTTCCCCTTGCTCCTTCCCCAAGCCTATACAGAGGTGAGGTGAGCTCACTGCCCTAGATTATCTGCAGTCAGTCTGTGTTTGAGATGGGGGGGAAGGAGTCTGAATTGCGTAGCTGGAAGATTGACTGTGGGCAAACATTTAACTAGTGTTTACAATGTGTGCTCTTGAGAAGATTGGTTCTGTGCATGAATGTAATGGCATGTAAACCCAAGCTGGCTTCCAGCATGCTTTTTTTTTTTTTTTAAAGGTAAAGTATAATTTACATCTATAGCTCTTAAATAAAATCCAATTGAGTACTCTGTTCTTCAGATTTTATATTGCACTGGTAAATTTATTCTAATATATTGTTTAGCTAGATACAAGCCTAAAAGCCTGAAATTAAAGGCTTTATCTTTAAAGGAAACTCAGGGAAAACTAGTTTAAAAAGTATGAAGGTGTATTAGATCCATGTGTGGATGTGTTTTTTCAGAAAGAAAACATTATATGCTCAAATTAATTTTAGTAATCAGGTTAGAATGAGTTACAGATAATTCAATTGAAATTAATTATTTAAATTATTAATTTGCAAGTGTTTAAGTGTGTACAGAGAAGTTTAGAAGTACTCAGACATGTTTCTTCATATCATCCCTTTGTAGACGAGTCTTGAGACTTAAGTTTTTGTTTTATTCTTAAAAGTACATTGCTGCTGATGAAAAGGTAGATTAATAATGTAAATTACTGAATGTAACAATGAAGGACAGAAAAATGATCATATCCTAGTATAAACAGTAAGTTTGATAAAGGCATTTGATTTTTCTGACACCAGGTGAGAGCAACTCTGGAAAAAGTACGAAAGAAAATGTATGGTGAATATGATGAAATGAAACGAAAAATACAGCAGCTTACAAATGAACTGAAAGTAAGTATACATTCATTTATAGGGAACACATGAAGAATAACTGTCCCAGTGTTATCTAGAAACTTTTTTTTTTCTTCAGCAGAATATAAATTAATTTCTCAAACCACTCAAGTTCATTGTTTTATGTGACTTCTATACATCTATTTATTTATTTATTTTTCCTTCCAGACAGGCAAAGTAGGACAGGGATGTTTTTGCATATGGAATTACTAATTGCCTGCTTTTTGGAAATAAAGGGATGATCTTGACAGCATTGTCTGTGCGTATTGGTAATTAGTGGAGATGTTTGTACTAGTAAGCTGCCAGGTGAATTGAATAAATAACTGACAAGAAGTAATGTGCAACTTAGTTGCTGTCATTTCAACAGACTTTACTCTGTTTTACTGCCTGTATTGTTTAAACACTGTAGTAAAAGAAACAGCAATATTCTTTAGTATTAAAGTGCATGACAGGTCTAAAACTTACTTACTTTTGGTTCTCAATTGAACCTTTCAATGGTTATTCGATGACCTCTTTTTTTTTTTTTTTTTCTGACACGCTGCTTTAGCAATAAAGCTGTTGCAGTCCATGGAAGTATCCTTCACATTAAACTGCTGAGTAATTTGGTCCAAAAAATCTACCTGAAAACTTGCTGTGGATTTTATATTCAACATTGGTTTTCACAGCCCTGGTTCAGATGAAGCTTTGGCAATCAAACATATTCTGACTTGAAGGGACTGGGACCCTGACTTGTGCCTTTCTGCCATCCTCGTTTGGAAATTTCCTCGTTTGTCAGTTCCCTGCATGCTGTATTATGTATAAAGATCAGAACTTGCTGTTAAACTGGTACTTTTATTCTGTGGCAACTAGTCTTAAAAAAAAAAATCTCCCTGACCTCAGAGGAGGAGGGAGAGGAAACTGAATTTCTGTAAACAGTGTTAAATGATGCCAAGAAGGTGAGTCCTCCACCCAGTATGCTTGTAGGCAAATGCTGATGCAGGTACAGTTTTGTCATCTTTGCAGCTGATACTGAATAGTAGTGATGATATTCTGAAATTCCAGATCTTGTGTCAGACCCATAGAAATCCTGCATGAGTCTGAACATCTCTCTTAATTAAGGGTTTCTGACCAGCTCTGACAGAATCTCTATTTCTGAAGCAAATTAGCAGTTTATGAAGCGTTCCTGACATAAATGGCACACTACGAGATATCCTCCCCCCTTTTTTAAATACTTTAGAGTGCCTCAAAGAAAGCACAAGTGTTGTTCTACCTAATAATATATGCTTTTTTTGGTCGGTTGGTTGGTTTTTTGGTTTTGGTTTTACATGACTGCAATCTTTCATGCTATTTAGGGATCCTGTTTAAAATCCTTCATATACTCTTTGCTTCAGCTTTGAATTACTGTTCTTTTTTCCCATCAATTTCCAGGACTACTTTTTCTTCATAAAGTTTGTTAGAAATTTGTACTTCTGATATCCTGCCCTGGGCAGTATGCTTCTTCACACAAGTTTTTATCTTGTAACTTTCTTAATCCATCCAAAGCATTTCTGCTGTTGTTTGTTTGTTTGTTTGTTTGTTTTTACATGAGCACACCTTTATATAGAGTTAACAGTAACTACTTGGCTTCTGCTCCCTATGCTGACCTAATCTGTGTATGACTTGGTTACTAAATACTAATCATTCTCCATATCAGTCTCTAGTGTTCTTATGTTTTTATCAAGAAACAAATCTGGTCCATCTAAGAGTGTAAGTTGGGCTGGCCTCTGTTAGTAACATTTTTTTTTTCTTTATTATTGGGTAGTTCATAATCATTAACACTGTTTGGATTTTGGTTCCTTCTTAAATTATGTCATTTTGTGCCTTCCC